TGTGGGGCCACGTCATTGCTCACTACGACTGCAGGCAGGGAGCAGTAACATATTGCTTGATAACGCAACATCTTATGCTCCAGTGCTGTACACTAATCGCCATATCGGTGGAGGAGGTGGGGATATTTCATCAGCAGTGCTTGTTCATATTCCCAGGTCACGTTCTGACTCTGCCTCTAGTACTGATGAAGTCCAACAGAGAGATGGAAAATTGACTTCATGGGTGCACAGCCCAACAGAAACTGAGTTGTGAATGCAAGCAGTCATTCATCTGAGGGTAGTAAAGGAGACAATGAAAGCTTCCCAATAAAGGTACTGTAAATGTTTGAATAATAGCTTGGGCTTCAATTTCTGTTCTACTATCCAGCTACAGTTTTATCTCAGTGCTGTTTAAGACGTAATATTTCATAAAATATTTATGTATGTATTTATTTATTTAATATAATAAAATACATGAGTTTGGAAATGTTTAATTAAATTTAAAAATTCTCCTCCTCTTAAATTATGAAAAGAATTAAAACAGACGAGTTTAGCAAATTACCTGTTCAGTACCTACAATTTACAATTCCTATGCTGGGACATGACCAGTAAATGGTATAATTCAAACTCTTGCTGCTATTCATTTAAGCCTCAGCTTTTAATTGAACATGTATGGTACATTTGTATTGTTCATTCAGGCTCTTCCATGGAACTTATGGGTAACAAAGCTTAGTAAAGGTATTTTTAAGATGTATTTCCCACACAAGAGACTATGAAATTTGTTAACAATAAGAACAATAAAGTGGCCACAGTGAGGGTATAAAATAAGGATTTTATAGTTCAGATATTAATCCAGTCTATGTAACATTATTTATTTAGTGTGCTATTGGCCTAACATGCAATCCCAAAGATTATATATAATATATACATATAAATGCATATATATAGTTTATAAATATGGAATTATAGTAATATTAAACTTTTCCCAGCAACAAAGACTGAAATGTGATCACGCAGTCTTGATAGCACACTAATCATAGCCAAAGATCTGAGATAGGGGCCAGCTTGTACAACAGGCAACAGGGAGAACCAAGACAACTTTGAGCTGCTGCGTAACGGAAAGTAAAGGTGGCCTATTCTTTTCATTTACTTTCATGCTGTTGTATGAACTTCGTTCTTAACTCTCAAATAAGAATACATATGCATAACATGTAAATTAAAGCTTGTAAATAGTATGCACATATACTGTGTGTATGTTTGGAAACTTTTCTTTGATTAGTATGTACATATACATATATTTCTGTGGTTTAGATGTTTCATCACATTTTGCTATCCCTGGTTTATTAGGGAAAATTTTGTGATTTATAGTTTTTGGGTTATCAGGTAATGAAATATGTGACATCAGGTTGGTCATCACTAATATCCTAGTTTCTATAGCCATGGTGATGTGAAGGAAACAAAGAACATAATGAAATTTTTACCAATTTGGAATAATGTGATGAAGATAGTAAATATGATTAAATGAGAAATGAGTGTCTTGGATCGTGTCTGATTTATGTTCATTGAAAGTGTAAAAATATATAAACTGAAAACCAACATCTTTGACCTGGCAGATAAACTTATTTATGATTCAAATAATAAAAAAAATATTTATAACTTGAATTCCTGTTTTGTATAAAATCTGTTGTATTTTAGACAACTTCACAATCCTTGTTGTCTTGGTTTTGGGAAATTGAGAAATGTGTGTGGTTTCCTTCACTTCCTGCTTTCATGGCCCTCTCATATTTCCTTTCCCTAGCCCTCCAGTTGCGTGCCACCGATAACTGTTGTGTTATTGATTGTAGCATTATAGTTTTACTGTGAAGTAATCTATGTTAATAAATGGACTATGCTGAGAAATGAGATATATTTTTATATATTGTTTGTTTGTGCACAAATCTGAAGATTATTTATGATTTTTTCTTTTGTATCATATTTCTGGAATGACTTGGGGAAAATTTACAAAATTACATAAATTCTTTTGGGCAAATAGTTAGTTTTTGAAGTGCTAATCACTTGCCATTAACTTGTAATCTGTAATTCCCAGTGTTGTTTCATAATATTTTGGAATATGTATAATCCTTTGTTTCAAAACAAAGTTATAATTTTACATTTAAAGTAATGAAAGGTAATTTTCCAGGCTTGAACTGTTGTCAGTTCCATACCCTATTTGATTAATGAAAATGTTAAGAACATGCTTTTTCCCATTCTGTGCACACGGAACCACTTTTTCTAAAATTTATGCATGAACTGGAACAAAATTCACTAGACACAGAGAATTAATTTCCTGCCATGACAGAGGAAGAAGTTTGAAGGTAATTCGTAAGCTACGGTTCAAAGCTGTATCTAAAACAATATTTCTCTCCTTTAATGTTAAAACTAACACATCACCTTTCAGTTCATTTGGTTCTTGGTTTAATGATGATTTATCAAGTTTATAGGTTATTTAGCTTCAAATGACATTGTAAATTATGAACTGAGAAGGCTCTTTTTAAAGTAACACTCAAGAATTTATCTTGAGGTTTTAGAAAATCCTCCAACATATTTCAGTATACCACTGTGTGAAGTAGATGCCAGGTCTTCCTAATTTTAGCATCAAGGTATCTGTGTGAGAAACAGAGTATGTAAACCTAAGACATACTGATAGAATGTATGGTATTGATATGTTGATATTTTTACCAGAATGTTCAGTAGTAGATAGGCTGCTGGTAGGCACCTAACAGTCTGATTTGGTACAAGGTAATGGTTCTTAAATTGCTTGGAAGAGACTTGTCATGTCAGTTAATTTTGGTTAAACCTAAATTATTTTTGTTACATTCTAACCCTATCAGTGTTAATGAAGAAATATTGTATCTCTATGTTAACTGGTATGCATTTCATAGAATTTTAATATCTCATCCCTTTACATCCAGATGTATTATTTTTTTCTTTAAAACTCACTTTGTATCCAAGATATAGTGGAACCTCGATATAACATAGGTTTCAGGGGACAGCTTCAGTATCTGCATTATATGTGAAATATATGAAACATATGTAATCATACTGGGAGACATGATCACAGCCGCGGTATATCCAAGTCCATGGTATAACGAGGCGCAGTTTTTTGAGGTTTCACTGTATTGTTTCGTTTTTACTTCAGAATTTTGCAAAACAGGAAATTGGTACAGCACCGTATATTTGGTGAAACAATTCTGTCTGTAATGCACAGCAAGTATTTCTGCACTATAAAATTATTCCTTTTATAAATGTGAAGTGTCTTTTAGTTCTTACAGGTCCTTTGTGATAAAAATAAAAAATACATCTATAAATTTACTATTGTATTTACCAAATTATTACTTCCAGCTTCTCATATGATAGCTTCAGACAAAATAGTTATTATTTATATTAAATTTTGTCTTTGGCCTCGTCCATTGTCTAGATGGTCCAGGTTTGAGAATATCTTGGCCAGGGGACCCTGCAGATTATTGTTTATGTCCTTTCACTTGAAGATGGAAGTAAAACAAACTCTCAAAATGTGATTTTTAAAACACCAAGTTGATGGATAAATAAAGAAAAAAATAATTTTACACAGTGTGTCACACCATCATCAAAAACTCTTCAAACTTTGACTTATCATTTAATTTGATTAAATTGTGAACTGGGTTATGTTTCAGAAATTTGCCATGTAATGTTGTTCTGCCTAATCAAGGGTACATGCAGTAATTGAAGCCTACAAATCATAATACCTGTTTACTCAGAAAGGATTTGGCTAGATATGGTAATGAACGAACTGTAACATTTCTCAGAATGGTAACATGAAATAAAACTTGTTGATCGGATTCACTACTGCATAAAGTGTGTCCTATTTTTAGAAAATAAATTTGAAAACTATAAGAATTTATTAAATGAATATTAAAATTTTATATATGTATGGATTCAATCCTGTGTTTGTAATGGAATATACATGTATGTATGCCATATTGGCACTTAGTTTTAGGATTAATTTCGATAAATAGCAGTATTCTAACTTTAATATTGTTCCTAGGCTTGAAAATGGAGACCTTGAAGCACTTAACTGAGTCTACTATTATTTAAGATAGTTTTGTGTGTTCAAACATGCAGTGGATAATTCTGTTTTCGAATTCTGTGGATGGAATGAATTACATCATTTTTATCTTCCACCATGAGCTCTGTAAATGGTCAAGTTTATTTTATTTCTTAATACACAGTCTGACTACATATCTCAAAACTAAGAATTTTTATAGCCCTATTTATAGTCTATATTTTCCACCTCCAAACGTAAGAGCCAGGATAGAAATTTAAAGAAGATTAGAATAAATTATTTTTGCCAGCTGTTATAAAATACAGATTTTTCACAGAAATGTCAGAATATGGTAAAAGATCTCAGTAGTATTTATTAGAGTATTAAAAATATATTAAAATTGGCCGTCAATACACGACATGTTTCGGCTATATATAGCCATCATCAGGTGTTATGTATTTAAACTTATCACTGAATTACATATAACATATTAGTGACCTGTGATACTACAACGAATGATGAAACAATATAAAGGACAAGAACATCAGAAGAAAAATGAAGACTAAAAAACATTAAAAATCAGTAATTCAGTGAAAAGTTTAAATACATAACACCTGATGATGGCTATATATAGCCGAAACATGTCGTGTATGTTCCACATGTAAATCGAGTACTCGATAGGGAACGTAAAATGATATTTTAATCTTTTAATAATATTATATTGTGATTGACGGCTAATTTTAATATATTTTTAATACTATATTTTTAATACTTATAAATCACAATATGACGCATCTACAATATCTTATTTATTAGAGTGTAACATGTGATAAAATTCTTGATGGAGACTCGAGCACATGTTTCAGGCATTGTTCAAAAATATTTGTAGCTAGGTTTATACAATAAAGGAAATCTATATGTAAAAAATTGTGGATTGCCTGTTATCAGTTTCAAATGAGTTGTTCGACCAGTAACAGTTTTCCCATTTACTGAAGCTGCAATCTGAGTGATGGAATTGGAACTACAGATCACAAACTTTTACTATTTTTCATGTGTGAACATAGAAACATTTTTATAACAATATTACAGAAAATAATATTTGCTTTTGTGATCTGGTGCTCAGAATTTGTTGAGCTCGAGGCTTCATGGCTGTATTTACATTATATGTTATCCAATCCAGAATTTGCTACGAAGAAAATGTATCTGTGTGTTCA